TACAAGCCTTGTCTCTGGCTTCCGGAGTATCTTATGTGCAGGCTGTTAGAGGTGGGACGGGTGCTGTCGTGGCGCCCTCCCCAGTATTAATAGATGAGCTATCAGCTGTACCAGAGGGATGGTTCAGGTACATACAGCCAAGCAGATATTTCAAGGGCTGAAAGTCCTCAAAGCTGGCAGCAGACGCTGAAGGCTAGGACGGACATGTGCCATCATATCTCTTTTCTGGATACGACTGATGAATGCTCAAATCGTTCTTTTGCAAAAATTTAGGGTTACTACCTATGTGCTGTAGAATGCCTCCTTTAGGAGGCACTGGCATTATCAGAGACAAAAGTCTGTATGAACTGAGTGTTCTCTTTTTTTGTCTCCCTCTTTATTCTTTCTGGATTGTATTAAATGCTGCTCTGGGTCTTCTAAGGTCTCTTACCAGTTACATATTTTACTTCAGTGATAGGCTGGAAATTGGTACCTCTTTCTGGTTGCTGGTAGCACGGTATTTTTGTTTGGTTTTTCAAAGATGAAAGTGCTAGAGATCATTGTCAAATTTAGGCTTTCTTTTAATGTTTCAGGATTCAAGTACCAACAGTGTTATCTCAGAAATCAGTAATAAAATAGACACTGAAATAGCCTCCTTAAAAACACTCATGGAATCAAATAAACTCGACACAATACGTTATTTGGCAGGTATGTAATAGGCAACGATGTGAGTACCAGTATTATATTTTTGATGTACAAAATTTTGTTCAGGAATATATGCAAAGTGAATTCAAGAAGCCAGTTGTGTACCAGCAGGTAGCTGGGATTGGATTTCCTCCCCAACTGAAAGAATGTGACAGAGAACACAGAAGAGGTGGGAACGTGCAGACACTGCTGCAGTTGGACTAGGATTGCGCCCAGAACAGGGATTAGGAGGAACATGGACATGATTTTTTTATTTTTTTTTTTTTTAAAGGGTAGGAGAGAAGCCTAAATACCTTGTCTAGTCTGATAGTGCCTCTGCTTGCTGCAGGGCAGCCATTTATGTGGCAGAGTTGCTCCAACAGTTGTCCTGCACTTATTTAAGTTACCCTCAAAGTTTGCTGATATTCAGGACTAGTCTGAGAGTGACCAGTTCTGCCTCCCATTCAGTCCTCCACAGACACATGGTTTCAGTGTGGCAGTACTGGTACTTTCCCCTGCCAAGCAGAACAAGTTTCAGTCTGACTTGAGATAGTCTTCTCAATAGATACACAACCAGTGAAATTTTTATTGTATTGGCGCTGGATAAAAGAGAGTAACGTATCATATTTGGAAGTCAGAACAAGTTCAAAGGGAAACTTAATTAGCCTTATTCTAACACCAACTGAAACAGCAGCTCAACAGATCTGAAACACAGCTCATCAGGCTTCAGAGGCACTGCCTAGATATCTTAACGTTGTGTCAGATAGGTGTATTGTTAGTTCATTGTCATTTTGTTCAGTGGGAAATCATTTTAATTATGTCTAATGCAGGACCTGGTACAGCCATCTCTGCTGTCATACAGCTTCCAATAGATGGGTGACAAAAGGAAAGGTTACTGTAGCCTGTTGTAGTTATTCAGATGTGACGTGGAAAACAGTTCCACAGGCTGCTGAATTTGACCTCCCATCTCACCACCTGGGCAGTGCTACTCCGCAGGATATTACATCTAAGACAAGTCATTGTCTTCTAAAATTATTCTGTCACACCTGCAGCAATTCAGGAAGTTTAGGAGGCTCTGCTCTACGGTTGTTATTCCATCCGTTTGCAGTTAATTTCCTGTATGTAGAAGGTGATAGAATTTAGCATTCAGCTAATTATTTCCTTTCTTTTTTTTAACAGCTTCAGTATTCACTTGCTTAGCAATAGCACTGGGATTTTACAGGTTCTGGAAATAGCTGTAAATGGAATGGCTGCATCAAATACAGGTGGAGAAAAGGCCACCCAGGCAACATCAGTTCGAGGATCATGTTTGCGCTGTAGATAACCTTGGTACCTTTTTGTTTTGATATTCTTACTGTGCACTAAAAATGTTTTCTGAATATGTAACACTAAAGATCAAAATAGCTTGGGAGGAAAGTAGGCAAATAGTAATATTTCATTGTCCTCTATTGAATACTGTATTTATTTCAAAGGGCTTCTTATGCTAAATCAGAAAGTGTTTCCTAATGTGTTTTTGAATTAGTTTTGTTTTCTTTTGGAACATTCTCAATGGAACATTCTCACTCTCAGCTCATCTTGAAATGGAAATATTAAACATTTGATAGGCCCTTAAAATGGGAATACTATTCCCTTCTTGGGAATAGTAATGCCAGATTCCAACAGATCCACTCTGACCCAAGTAAGTTAATCTTAAATATAGGATCTGGATTTTCGCCTTCAGTCCGTTCCTCTCGTTTCTGACAGATTGAAGCCTGGCACTTTGGGTTTTGGGTTTTTTTATTTGTAGATAAACATACACTCCAAGGCCTTTACTAAAGAATCCTTGTTCTTCTTGAAAACTGGTTTGCATAAATTTAAAATCTCATGTAGAACTAAAATGTCTCCATAGATATAATATTTTTAGTATCTTGCAATTCCTGTAACCCCAGAGGTCAACAGAATGGGAGAATGTTTGTCTGTCTTTCCAAGGGGAAATGCCTCCACTCCCAGCACCTGTGTACAGCCCTGGGGCAGATAAGTGCTCTTAACTCCTCCAGGTAGGGCAGAGTATTTCCAGTAAACCCTCACGTATTTTCTGGGCGTAGGATCTGGCTTGTAACATGGAAATACTCAGCATATCAGTGGTGCCACTGTGGTGGTGATCATCCTTCTCCCATCTCCACACTTCTTCGGACTGTTCTGTAATCCTGTGGGACACACTGACCCTCCGAACTTCTGGTGATGACCCCTCTACCTTCTGCAAGGACTTCACAACTCTTCTTGCAGAGATGGGACATAGCAGGTGGATGCCTTCCAAAACTAAAGTGATTGCACCTTGTTGAGTATAAATGCGTATGCTTGGTTTGATTCTTTTAATAAAATAATAGTTTAAAAAAAATTCTTCCTGGATTAAACCTTTAAGTAAGAGTAGGCCCTCTATGGGCTAAAGAGTATTAAGTACTGATTAGCGGGGACTTTTTTATTGCAGTTTTATTCTGTTTACAGTTGAACTTGCTATATTCTGTGCATTAAATTATTTATCGTCTTCGTTTAAGAAAATAAAATGAATTTCTTATATTTTCTATCTATCTGAAGGACTTGAATACAGATTACCAGACTGTAAACAGGCACAGTGCTATTATATCGGGAGTTGCGGCTGCTTTTTCTGTTGCCTGTGTGTTTGTCATACAGGCATGGGTGCAGGCAGCAAGGATCTCAGGAGGTGGTTGGCAGTTGCTTGTGTCTGTTGCAACAGTTGCATCGACAAATCCATCTTCTGGTAAGCTATGACCATTTCTGAGGTTCTCTGAATCATAGAATCATTTAGGTTGGAAAAGACCCTTAAGATCACTGAGTCCCACCGTTAACCTAGCACTGCCAAGTCCACCACCAAACCATGTCCCTCAGCACCACATCTACCTGTCTTTTAAATACCTCCGGGGGTGGTGACTCAACCACTTCCCCAGGCAGCCTGTTCGAGTGTTTGATAACCATTGCAGTGAAGACATTTTTCCCAATATCCAATCTAAACCTCCCCTGGTGCAACTTGAGACCATTTTCTCTTGTCCTATCACTTCTTACTTGGGAGAAGAGACCAACCCCCATCTTGTTATACCTTACCAGTACTTTCAGGTAATTATAGAGACTGATAAGGTCTCCCCTCAGCCTCCTTTTCTCCAGGCTAAATAACCCCAGTTCCCTCAGCCGCTCCTCAGAAGACTTGTGCTCCAGACCCCTCACCAGCTTTGTTGCTCTTCTTTGGACACGGAATGACTCAGGTTGATCTTTTGCTCTGTTCCTACACAAGAATTTAGCACCAATGGTGGTGCAGGAAATAGCTCATCTATGGCAGCTTCTTACCACCATCGTCCCCTACGCACTGAAGCAGGCTCTAGAGGCTGGATTTCTCCCGATTTCGCCTCTTTAGCTCTGATACAAAGCTTACGCTGTTACTCAGCGTGCCTCTCCCTCAGTCTGCTCACACAAAAACTAATTGATTTTTTTTTTTTTAATACCTTTGAAATTCACAGAGATTAAGCTTTCTTCAGTAACTAGGGAAAGGGCAGACCAGGATTCAAGTACTAGCAAATTATAGCGCAAGGATTTCTTATTGAAATCAAAACTCTCAAAATATGCATGATGAGGGTTTCAAAGGGAAAAGAATTTCACAATAGCACACAGATGAGAGAAAAATCTTTATATGTAAAGTCATGAAATGTGTTTTAGGCACAGAAGGGAGGTCAGTACTGCCATTTCTAACCACAACATGCCCCACAACCTAGTGTACTCTTCAGCCCCGAGTCAGACGTGGAGGCACACCGCTGCAGTTCATCTGGCACCTTGTGAAGGAGTCACTTCCTGACTTATTTAGGAACGACTTGAAGATGAAAATCAAGGGGCCTGGAACCTGTCTGCAGTGGAGAAGTACTCCCAGACACTGCATCCTGGTTCCACACTGGAGGTCGACACTGATTATTAAGGTGGTATTTTGGTTTTTTTTTTTTTCCCCCCTCCTAAGGTACTAGTCAAACTGGGATACTGTTCTCAGACCTAGGAGTGCCTATGCAATTGCTGTAGTTAACTCTTGAAACATCACCTTATAATTTGCAAAGCTGGTGCTAAATTACTATCTGGATGGGAAGATAAGACTTTCTGCTTTTTTTTTTAATAAAAAATGCTGCTACCATGATTTAAAAATATTTTCTATCCCAGAGTGCTATAGAACTAAAAAAATAGTTCAATGAAATGCAGAGAACCACAACTCCTCTGTGGAGCTGGGTATGCGAGCATTCTGCATTGTGTAGAATATTGCCATTGTACCTCCTCGGTCTGCCTGCCCCTGGTCAGAGGTTCACTCCTCAGCGCAGTCTCACAAATACTCCTCCAGGGCTGCCTGCTGGTTTCTTCTTTACTTTCTTTTTCTCTTTGCAAGACTTGGAGACGGTCTCAGCCTCCTGAAACAAAGGACATCACAGCCATTAAATAGCAATTGCTTAAACCTGCTACCTCCTAAGACAGGCTTTAAAAATATATGGATTTGAGTAAGCACGGAATATTGTGTTCAGACTGAAGCTGAGGGCAGAGTGTAGTCCCAGGCAGGGGCTGACAGTCACAGCAGTGTAAGATTTGAAGGCACCTGGGTTGTAGCACTTGGAGCAGAAGTTTTGAAAACAAACATCCCTCAATAGAAGTTGTCTCCAGTCCCAGCTAGTAAACCTAATGCCCATCTGGACTTTTTTAGGTTGCTACTGATGAAAAAACTAACTACAGGCACTCTTCCACCCTAGAAATGGGGCACTCTATGCCTAGATTTTTAAACCTCCCAGGGGAGTAGAAAGGGTAACATCTTAAAGTGAGCTATGGAAGCAGAAAGTGGCTTTTCTTTCAAAGGTGGAGGCACCTGGCTGGCCTGAGGGTCTCAGCAGCATGGAAAAGATAAGTCCCAAGGATACAGTGGGAAGCAAACAGCTGTGAGAGCATCACAGCTTGCCTATGGTAGCAGGCACCAGCTAAAGAAAAGGAAAAAAAGGCCCAGGAGGACAATCCTTCAAGGGGGGGCAGGAGGAAGAAAGCGGGAAAGGGGATAGAAGGGATGGAAGGAACTGTGCAATGTGGTGTGCTCAGGCACACACGGGTGTGTGAGAAAGTAAGCTGTGAAGCCAGCACCCTGCACCGGCGTGTGACACAGGCACCATAGTGACCTGAAGGCCTCGCCGCTTTGAGTTGCAGCAATTGAATGCCATCTGGCCATGCTGCACACGCAGCCATGCCACATTATCCCGGGATCAGATGATGGCAACAGAAGGACTAAAGTTCTTGGGACAGAAATTCCTCTGTCCTTCTCCAAGGATGAAGCTGCTTAAGGGTGGCGTCACTTCTGCTCCCCAGGGGCCTGACATGCCCCAGACATTTCAATGGCCAAATCCACACATGGCTTAAACGGTAACAAAATTGAGCTCAAAATGCTTGTTTCCTGCTCGAGCATCCATCAAGCATTCTTCCCCATCACACTCAGAAAAGGATCGTTTTCTAGTAGAGACATTCCAAGCACCTGGCCCTCATTCAAACCTGTCTGAAGAAGACGGCAATGTTGCCCTTTTTATCCAGCAATCCAATTTTGCCTCCAAGAAATACGTAAATGTTTCACAAGAAGCACAGGCCAGCTCCCCCCTCCTGCATGATTGCCCTCATAATCAGCTTATAAAGCTGTTTTCTCTCATTAACTCCGTCTGGTCCAGCGCATATTGAAATACAGTAGTTGCACTGCGCAGCTGCGAGCAGGGGAATGAATATGGCTCCATCTCAGAAAAGCAGACATCACGCTGGTTAGAACATCTCTGCGCAATGGGTTTTCTCAGCTCCTCTAGGCAGAGGAAGGAGCTAAATCCGAATTGCCCATGTTCCCAGTGACTAGAGTCCTTGTCTGACTTTTATACTGGTTATAGCACAGCCCTACAAACAGTTACACAGTCAAAGCAGAGCAATAGCCAAGGAAGTCAAGCCAAGCTCCAAGAAAAGCAATGACCAGCCCAGGCTTGCAGGGCCATGAGCCTTTTCCACTGGCTGCACCCTTGGAAGAACCAGCAGTGTTACTGCACACCAGTTCCCACAACCCACAGCAGGGGAAATTTAGGTGCCTCACCCAAGGCTGCCTACGGACTAGATGGAAAAGATCTGAAAAACAGGGCCTAGACTGTCCTGTCATTTTGTGGGTGTTATGTAGCAGGGAAAGGTCTGAAATGCCAGCTCTCTTGTCCCCAAAGTTAGCATGTGAACCTCTGAGCTATCCTCAAGATTTGATTTTTAAAAAAGCTACCGTTTTTCTGTCTTTGCCTGCTAAGCCCATCAATAGTTCATATCTGCATCTTCTTTGCTGTCTGCAGGCTTGATAATCAAGATGACGGCAGACGACACACAAGAACGCTTATTGAAATCGGCCGCTGCAAACAGCAATACAGTATCGTACTACAGTACTCCACCGACTCACTTCCCAGCCTGGTGTAAAAGGCAGGAAAACAAACCAGTTCTAAAAGAGAGAGTTCCGCAGCAAAAGAAATATCTGACAACATGCACCGTGATTGCTATAAACTATGCCAGCCGGGGGTGAGGGGTTGACACAGCAGGTCAACCTGATACCTGATGGGAGCAGCCAGAAAGGCGGCCTGGTTAGAAGGGGAAAATTACTGAACAGAAGAAACCACCTGCTGAAAAATACCGACAGCATGGGAACCGTGAGTCTGGGAACCAGGAACATCCTTGAAAAGTGCAGCTGGACTCTTTGAAGTGCAGCTGTGGTACCTAAGAACCAGAGGCATCCTGGGATACCACCAGTAAGTGCAAAACCAAGAGACCGTAACAGCAACTTATTGTCTGAAAAGGTGGGAAATAGTCTGGAAAAATAAGAAGTAGTCTGAAAAAAACCAGAAACCTCATAATCTATTGGCTGTTGCAGGTGAAAAGTAGAAAATTAGAAATAGAAACATCAGCATCTATTGGCTGCTTGCAGTGGTGGTGTCCTCCACCCTCTTATGTCTCTACGATATAAAAAGGGCTTAATTTTTAATCCAAAATTGGGCCACTCTCTCTGAGAACTTCCTGTGCTGCACATACTTTTCCTTTCCTGAACAGGCTGAATTTTCTGCTCAAACTTTCTATGAGACCTTGTACTCTCACCAGGGATGCCCATCTGACTCCATTAGCTGTGACATGGATCATAGAATCACAGAATCATCTTTGAAGTGAAGCTGTTATTTTCTTGGTCCCCCTCCGGGATCAGTTTGTCCTCCACTCTGGGATGGTTTGGCCCCATCTGAAATCTGTCTAATTCACTTCATACCGATATTATGTATCTTTATAAGTAATCAATCAAGTATATCAGCTCTCATATTGTTCATAAGTTTGCTTCACTAACGCTAAGTCTGCAGTAAACTGTAATAGTATATACTTACTTGGTTATTGCTATATGTCCTGGTTTGAGGTAAAATAGAACCAATTTTCTGTTCAGTAATTTTACTTTTCAGGTAAGCCTCTTCTAACTAACAGAACTCTCTGAAATGAATAGTGTATTTTTAAGACTAGTCTGTTCCCAGAGTGATAAGACCTGATTGTTTATAATTAATACCAAGGCATGGTATGCAGAGAGGCTCCTGCTTATACTCATTGCTATAACCCCCAAGGGTTTTTGTTATTTGCCCCGTTGGAGGTTCAGAAGCGGAAAAGCGTAGAGGGGTCCCACCTGCAGGGATGAGTGGACAGGACAGGTGACCCAAAACTGACCAACGGGGTATTCCATCCCATCTGCCTCATGCTCAGTGTAAAAGCTGAGGGATCAAAGGGTCAGCTCTCTTTCTTCAATGGCCGACATCTGAGGGGGACTCTGTCTGTTCATCTGCCTTTAATCCCGATCCATGCATTCTTGAATCCAGACCAGGAATCCAGTTCTTATTTTATTAATATTTTCATTAAAGTACTTTAGTTTTTTTTCTAAATGCATAGGTCTTTCTCTCTCTCCCTCCTCTCCCTGGAGAGAGAGGTGGGGGAGACCATCTGTCGTTCATTTCAGTAGCCAGTCCAGCCCAAACCACGACTATTGATTGTTGCTTGACTACTGATTGCTACCATACTATTGATGTAATAGCTTGATATATATTTATATTCAGTGTATTAATCATAGCTATACTTGTTGGTGGTGATTTTTGTGGTACTTGTGGTAAACTGTAATAAAGTAGATAAATTTAGAGGATAAAAGCCACTGTGTATTACAGAATCCTACAAACCCACAGCTGTAATCTCTACACGCCCACAGGCCAGGTAACCCTTTAGGTGGTGACAACACCTCTCCTGAAGCACCAGTCCAGTCCCAGATACCACCCACCAGCCAACATGAACTATCAGTCACTGCATACGCAGCATGGAAGTGCTCGGTGATCAGCCCACTCACTATTGTTAGTATGAAGACGAAGAATATTGGTGCTTCTCTGCCAGGGTACAAAGAGAAGCTGATATCCTTTCACAGCAGAGACACTGTCAGGACACAACAAAGGCTACTGCTCACTTCAGTGTCCCAAGCTGCTAGCACACTTACTCCAGCGTTTCCTAACACTGCTCCTGGGAATCTTAGCGAGAACAAAGATGCACAAGCAACAGGCAGTAGCCTCTGTCCCACGCACTGGGGGAGTTTGTGTGGCACTCACCAGGGGGAGAGCAGGGGGGACACGAGTTTTCTCCAGGCTTTTTCTAAGGTGGTTTATCTCTGCTCGGTAGTCATCCAGCTGGCTCTCCAGCTTCTCCCGCCTGACTCGCTCATATTCCAGCTGGGCCTCCAGCTCCCTCACAGCCCTGCCAAAAGCAAAGGAGACAAGCAGAGCGTGAAGCACTTGCAAACCTGCCCCAGCTACTCCACGTGGTCCTGTGCCTTTGCTAAGAAACGGGTGGGTCACAGCAGAAAGCAGTGCAGTACTCCTCACACCAGCTGTGCTGGGGTGAGCTACAGTGTGCTCCTGCCTCAAAACCCTTTGTAGCAGCTCTGAACAGCTGTAGTTCCTTCTTGGCTGTCAGCTGTGCTCAGCGCAATCTGACCACAAGATGGAGACGTCTTCCCACACACTGAGCCGGACATGAGGGTCTTGGGTAGGCTGTAACCCAGGTTCATCTCCAGCTGAGGAAGCGGGAGAAGTCCCCAAGGAGCAAAAACGTTAGTGTGAAACAGAGAAAAAGCGTAACACTGGGATTCTGGAGGCATCATGGCCAGCTTTTTCGTTTACTCTGGGTGCCTCTATATCCTTGCTATTGATTGGCTTAGCCACAGATGAGGAATACTCAACGACAGCCTGTATGACACTTACTAAAGTGAAGCTGAAGCACTGTCTGATAAACAGTTGCACAAGATCTCATCCGTCACACCCACAACGGCTCCTAAATTAACTGAGATTCCTGGAACTGGTTAGCTGAGACATAATTCACATATATTCTTGTTGTAACAGCAATTGACCTCAGCAACTGAGTCATCTGAGTTGAGCTGGCTCTCCTCTGTATCAGGATGAATTAGCACAGCTACAAAGATGGAAGACTGGAAAAAGCAAAAGGGAGATGTCTGCCCCATGGATTGAAACAGCACAGCAGGAAAGCTCTCAGCAAAAGCTACCACATTTCCCAGACTGAAGTATTTCTGACTCACGCAGCCCAATGCTACCAGCCTGTATCAGCCTTACTGACGCTGTGAGAATGTGCCTATGTTGGGAAATCAGTGCTCAGGGGGACAGGCTGACTTCTTGCACGCTTCAGATTAGTAAGACACAGCTCTAAAACTGTGTGGCACACACATGGTGGCAATTTTTCCCACACAACATAGCCTGGTAAAAGCACTGTACAGTGGTTCACAACAGGCCTCTTACAGCCAGAAAACATGGACTAAAGCAGGAATCTTCAAAATCTGCTACAGTAGCCTCCCAAGCGGCAACTCCTGCCTTTCATCTAGCAAAATGGTGGTGTCATTAAATATTTTAAAATAACGAATTTTTCTGGCATACAATACAAGCATCTTGTAGTTTATCTACAGGTAGGTACGCTGCAAAGGGTAGGTAGGTACACTGAGAAGTGGTATTTCCATTTCAAAAGGCCAGTGTGGAGCTAGGGATGCTCTCTGACCTCCACAGATGAAAGAGACTCTTCAGAGATCCTCACAATTTTTCTAGTTTAGCTGCACATGCCACAAAAAGCAAAATTCCTTAAAGAGCCTTATCAAAGCCCTGTAATAGACACTGCTAGCTTTGGAGTAGCTGCTCTATTCAAAATGAATTCTAATTTCTGCCATTAGTCAACAATGACTTCTGCATCATTGCAAACAGATTGCTCTGACCTTCCAACATAGGCATCAACACCTGAGCTGGTCACCCTCCTCCTTTAAAGCCAGGAGAGACACTCCTAGATGCAATGAATCTCACCCTGAAGTACATGGCCACATCTCTCCAAGGTGTCTAAAAAGGATTTCAAGGTAATTAACTTGGATGCAGATACCCACATTGCAGACATATCAAGTTAAGGAAGATGGACCGGGCTGAGTCAAAGGGTGATCTGCAACCAAGAGAAATCCTGACCTCAGTTTCTTGGCTCATATAGGGTTGTAAAATGAACTATTTAATTCCAATCTGGGACACCTATTACCTGCTCCAGAACTACACAGACTGGTAAGTCTGTTGTTGTCTTGATGGCATACAAGCCCTCTGGATACAGTCTCCTCTCAGTGACCAAATAGAGACAGTGGCTTGGAGCGGCTCAAACACATAATGGACGTGGTTATCTACAGAGACTGAAAAAAGTGGGTAGCCAAACCTTTGACAGATAGAGGTGGAGATAGGGCTGTCTTTTGGATGATGCATTATTGTTTAAGCTCTAAATCTCTGACAGACAGAAAGGCTTTTCTTTGAAACTTAGAAAGCTTGCCCATCAAATCACATGACCAATCTAACAGAACCCTTTCATTTAATGGAGACTAATGAGAATTAGACAGACATGAAAAGTGTTTCACGTACAAGGGCAGGTTTGCTGAGATTTCTTTTTCTGTGGTCTGGATATGAGCTAATGCTTTCTCAAGCATAGAAATATATTGCCCTTGACACAGAAATGTAGCAGGTCGTTGAATAATTTCTGCTGTATACGCACTTCCATTCAAGTCATGCTAAGACTAAAGCCTTTTTTTCAGATTTATTAAACTGCATATACGTATTTGGCATCCTCGATGCAAACAAAACAGCCAGGACTTAGCAGACCTACTGCACATACGCTGCAGGAAAACCTGAAGGCCAAACAGATAATCTTGCACAAGAAGTGTGGACCCATCAAACACTTGTGCTGTGGGGCTGATCCTGGTGGTAAAAGTCTAGAAATGGTCAGACAAAGTGCTGAAGTCTGTTTCTTTTTGGCCTCACTAAAGTTGGTAACTGGAAAGGACAGAATGGCCAAAACAACTTGAGTGTAAGTTAAACTTAAAGAACACTTTAAAATGGGCCTCACAGAGTTAAACATTAGTGGGGCACGTTAACCTTACTTCTCAAGTTCCCTTTCTTCTTTTTTCATCTTCTTCTCCTCCTCAGTTATTCCTCCCAGCTGTCTGTAGTTGCTGTAGGCAATCTCTAGAAGGTGTTGAAGTTCTTGAATCTTGTGATAGGCCCTTACTGTAAGACAGAGTTCTCCGGGTAGGTAAAATGCATGGAGAAGACAGTCATGCTGGAATTCAATAGGCTGGAAAAAAGTCTCACAAACACAGAGCAGAAATCACACTGCTCAGCAAATACTGAGCTATGCCTGACACCCACACAGCAGACAGATCTCAAATACAAGCAGCAGTCCAATATGGTTTCACCAACATGGATTAAAACAGTGCAACAATTACGTTCTGGTTGCCCTCTGCTATGCTTTCTAATTTTCCATGATTCGTTTGAATGCTCAGTGGCACAGATATCCTGTCAACTGTCCCATCTTACAACAAAAAGTCACAGGAGTTGGCAGAAACTGTGCAACTAGGACTATAATGTCTTGAAACCAACCTTTTCAAATAAGGAGTGATGGAAAGACAGTGCTTACTGCGTGCGTTCCTTTTCTCTGCTTTACCCAGTGTTAAATCTTCTTTGCTATCTGTACTCCCTTCCACACCATGTCTTTCAAAAAACTTCATGTTGTTTGCATCTAGTTCTTCATCACTAGAGTTACTGTCTCCAGTTCTTTGTGTCAGAAGTTCCACAGCTGCCAGTTGGGCAAATCTGCACAGAGAACAGTTAACCTATACTGAAGTATCCCCATTATTTGGAAAAATGCAGCCATGCTCCCTGCATGTGACAGAAACTCTCTGAAACTCTTCATGTTCCCATTTATTGGAGGGGGTTTCAGGATTACAGGAAGCACTGGTACACAAACTATGAGCAGCTAATCTGCTTTTTGTAGTATTCTGATGGCATGAGCTCTGCCTCAGTGAAATCTTATGACAATGATTCCCACATCAGAGGTATCTTTCCCTTTGCAGGTTTTCTTAATTGAATCTCATCAGAAACTGTATTATCTTTATTCATGGAAAAATCAGCTGGCCTGCACTAGTTCTCATTTACTTTGTACAGCTGGAGCATACTGGCTCACAATTTTCCTTTTGCAGATCAGCTAGTTTTCATCTTTTATGTCTGACCTTGGTAAAAAAATAAATTAAATTAAGTGAAAATTAAAACCTCTTATAGATACAATACAGCTTTGCTTATCACGCAGAGCTGGAATTCACAGGTCTGATCTGTTCTTGCTCCATCACTGAAAATCAGGATTAATTCCACCAAAGCTGACATGATTTTAATATATAAATAGTAAGTAAATAAATTACAAAGCTACAGGATATGCTACCTCTTGGCTACATCCTTTGGAGTCTCTCCAGCATCATTTGTAATGTCACAGTCAGCTCCCATTTCGATCAACCACTGTAAGCAATGGATATGCCCCCGTTCAGCAGCTAAGGGAAGAAAGGTGTGCACAAGTCTGTTATATACAACTGAAGTGTTTCAAACCTAAAATGTCCCCCTCTTGTCATTATTTGACATGCCAGAGATTGGGTTCACTAACACACCACAGGGGACATACTATTTCAGGAGAAGCCTGTAGTTCAAGATGCTCAAGTCACATAGGTACATGCAGTTTTGGGGAAGATCGTGCGACGTGGTTCTGTGCCTTTTTCTAGTTCCAGAAATTTACTGGCAACTCTTCCTGGACAAGAGTTAAACTAAACTTGCCCAGTCTCATGTGCTGAGCATGAGACACACAGATAACGCTGCCTCGCACTCTGTTGCAGCAAGGCCCGTATGTCATAGATGTGCAGCAAAGCAGTGCCACCTCTTTCCAGCTCTGGGCTCCCATACGTCAGACATGGCTGGTTGCCCCAATCTGTGGTGTGTGATGCTGTCCCACGGAGAAGGAGAGAAGCCAGGCCTGGAGCTATAGGTACATCATTTCTTGGGCCAGACACTCAAGGCAACACTTCTCCGCTGCAGCTTTGCCTTGTCATGTGATCTGGCATGGCTACTGCTCACACCACATGGTGCCAGGAATGATGTCTCACATATGGAAGATGGTATTTGGCATGTCTAGCTGTAACCTGTAAGCTGTTTTTCTCAAGGAACAATATATCAATTTCTTGATAGCACCCCCTTTGGATGTCTGCCATATTTGTTTTCTTACTGAGATAAGGAAATGAAATTACAATCAGACATAGTATTTCTCCATAACACCAACATTGCATGCAAAGACTGGGGATGAAACAATTGTAGGTTAGCACCATTCCAAGAGAATAGGGTGAGAAAGAACGTAGAAAACACTTTTAAAATCAAAACATATCAATTTTCATAATGAGAACTTCAATTATGTTTTTAAAAATTCTACCATTTGTATGTAGTCAAACAGAAATGTTGGAAATAGTGTTAAAAGCATATTACAAGAATACCTCCCTCTTTCTTTCCTCTCCTATCCTTTCACACATGACTATGAAACCTTCAAATACAAAATAACCATTTTCCTGTAATGATAGCACTCCGCTACCTATCAAGGTGTTAGACACCAGAAGTTTACCTTCCTTCACAGCATACTACCGAATTACTTTGTTGCGGTTTTTACAACACATCTCCACAGTGCTGATATGTTCAGTAAATCCACAATACAGGTAGCTAGCCAATGTTTCTAAAAGTCACATCTCACCTGATAAAAAAAAAAAAAAAAAACCACCACAACTATTTAGTTTTAAGTTTAGATGTTGTTTTCTCTTTAATATGAACTCTTCTTTCTTGACTTCAGCTTGGTTATTTTGTTTTTAAAGTGACACCTACATACACATACATCACAAAATCTGTTTTTCAGGGTTGCCCTTTCAAGCCCTCAGGAAACAAGATGCTATTTTTCATGAAGTTTATCTGATGAGCAGCCACTTGAAAAACTAAGTAAACAAATCAGCAACAAACTGAAACACAGATCATAATTACTGACCTTTGTGCATGAGAGTGGATCCCTTATCATCCCGCTCATTAATATTGATTACTCCACTTCTCACTAATCTTGTAAGCACTAACAAGTCCCCTTTGAAAGCAGCGCCATGGGCTGGGAAAGCTAAAACTGAAAACAAAATGCACACGTTTCCAAACAGATGCCAGCACTTCCACTAAACATGCTCATATTTGTCTCTCACTGCTTGCCCCTCTCATAGCAACTTATGCATGGGCACTGCATAGCTGTAGTTAGCCAGGTTAATGCACCCTTAATCAGTTAAAACGCAGCTGCATAACCAGCACTGTTCATCATAGACTTGATTAAACATATCTTGGTTACGGCTACGGGCATCTTACACAGTTAAGAGATTAATTTCATAAACCTGAAATAACAAGTATACCTTTGTTTTATGGTTGATGATGTATTACTGGTAGTAACTGGAGTCATTTGACTATTTTGAGTTCCATAGTCTAACCAAATATATAAACTATTTTGCTTCTTGCTTAAAAACTACCCATACACAGAATTTGATTTTTTTCTAGTTATTTTTTATAGACAGGAAGTACTGACATAGATACATATATGTACAATGACAAAAGACTAGCAGATAAGGACAGTAAGTGTCTGGAAGAAGTAGAGAGGTGAAGGTGCAGTTCTAATATCCTTGCTCTGCTGAAGGTTCTCCTTACAGACCTTGCCACACTTGCATCCTTTTCTGTTCTGACTGCAGTAGTATTTCTGGTTATCAAGTAACCTTAATTTCAGTGGGACATTTTCAGGCTAAGTTGCTATTCAGTGCAAGTAAGGGATTCTGAGCAGGCAAATCTGAAAACTCGTGAAAATTATACAGCTCATCTGGATGTCTACTGGAGTCTGAGAACATGGATAACTTGGTATTCATAGTGCAACATAGTCGGACATGTTTTATTTCAATCATGGGTAAACCTAAGACATTTATAAGATCACATTGAGTGCCCCAGTCTCAGGTATCAGTAAGTTTAGTAAGTATTGAAAGGAACAGCTCTTCCTTATATTGGTAATTTAAATGTTATACTTCTGCTCATGTAAGTTTTCAGAATCAAGCATTTCTATAGAATTACAATGCCTGTTTTAACAGTATCTTGATCTGTACTCACCTTCCTGTGTCTCTGGATGCTCCTCCTCTTTTTCCACACTGTCAATATATTGCAGAATATTATCTTTATAGAACCGTTCAGCCAAGTCCCTTGGAGTCTCTCCTTGGTCATTCCTGGCTTTCAGTGTGTGCATGACACTGGCCATCTTACTGACCAAGAACTTAAAACAATGCAGGTGTCCTTCCACGGCTGCCAGATGAGCTATAGCGGAAGGTGAAACAAAGTATGTTAGAGCAAAGCACTGCCACGTACCAAGAAAGCAGTGCTCCCACCACTAGTTAGATCTAGCTCGTCTACCAGCACTTGAGCCATCCAACACGGCACAACAAGTAGGAGCAGCCTCAGTTGGACAGTGGATGCTCAGCTCCTACACAGGACAGAGTCCAGCTCTATGGAAAGGAGGTAAAAGAGTCAAGGATGGGATCTGCAAAGAAGATTCCCTGGCAGAGCTGATTACAGGAGACAACACAACGCTGCCAAAAGACCTTTGAGCACTAGCTAGGAGAGCGTGACACTGCGGTCTCATCTTCCCCACGAACAGAAATCTCACTCCCCTCAGCAGCTGCCTGACTTTGCTGTCCTAGGGATATGCATTACACAAGGCCTGCAAGGGGTGTCCTCGATTAGGAGTTGAGGCCATTTCTGCTTTAGTCCCACTTCTACAAGTTTTGTCATACCTCTGCATCTCAGTTACCCCACCTATAAAATGAGGACAGTGACATTCGCTTTACTGGGTAAAGTATTTGAAGGTATATCCCACGGCAGAGGCTTCTATTCACAGAACTTCTGTCGTACATGTCTTTCCTTCAGCTGTTGCAGACAGTTGCTGTGTGCAGGAGCTGCTCCACCTCACCACAGCAGTGACTGCTTCCCTGTGGGGGTCAAGTGTTTCCTCCCTGTCTTTTAGGCTATGCTTAGGTTTAGTTATTTAATATTACTAGAGTGCTGGACCTATACCAAAGTAAGAGGTACAAAACACATACTCATTATTTTGAAATTATTAGAATTCTCTAGTCCCATTAATAGGAAGAAGTTGTCAAATAAATGCTTATTATGTGTTATCACTCCATGAAAATGCTCTGTAAAAGCTGGCTGATGTTCTATAGGCAAAAAGATTAGTTTGTTTCCAGGTAAGAATCTCATTGTCTTCATAGTTAATAAACAACATACCCAGAAGCTAAAAAAAAAGTCACTTAAATTAATTTTTGGCACATGCAAGTTCACTATTGCAAGCCATCCACAGCTTTCCAGAGCGTAATTGCACTAAAAGGTGATGGATATTGGTTTTATGGCAAGATGACTGTATTTAGGTACAGACGGTTTCTAAAATTTAATGTGACAATATCTGAGCTTCACTGAAATCAGGGCAGTTTTTCCCATTTTTCCATTTCCCATCAATTTTATTCAGTGAGTTAGTGACTCAGGAAGAAGTGAAAAGAAGAGGTACCTTCTCAAAAGTAAGTACTGATTACTAGTCAGTTAGTGAAAAACTGACTCAACCCTTATGAATCCACTTTCAGATACCTAAAATCTCAGGGATTTGGGGGATTAATTTTTTATTATTTTTTTTTTTAACCAGATGTCTGTCCAGTGCAGAAAGTGGTAAGAAAAGCTCAATGTTTTCTGCAAAGATGGCAAGGGAAAAATAGATTAAAGAAAGAGCTGTATTCCGTCCATGTCTTTTTGCACAGTTTCAGTGGGATGCTGTGGAAGACAATAAAGGAACTTTTCATAGGTGGCTTTCAACCTGTGTTTCTCAGTAGCCAGTGCCCAACATATAACTGTGCCATGTGAGCTGCAGGCATGCTGAGCACTTGCAGTTAAGGCTACAGCCAAAGGGTACTGTGCTGTTAACACAAAATATGCAGCTTAATGCTGAGAACTTTGAAAAACCTTATCTCAGGCACCACAAATAGGCAGTGGATAGTTGGTGTTGGTATCCCAACTTCTCTGTGTTTCATCTCGCCTTTTATAAAATCAGGCAAACACTATTTGCTCTTCTCAAAGTGGCAAGTGAAAAAACACTGTGAAAAAATCAGATGTTGCGCTATGATTAAATTAATATTACATTTAGAACAGGTTTAACTAGTGAGCAAGAAATGAAACATGTATATGGCCAAAAAACAAACACAGAGAGAAAACAAAATGTTGAATTAATAAGCACAGCCTATTCTGTACGCTGAATGAGCCAGTTCTCCCCAAAAATTAGCATGCTATAGGTAATTAAAGCCTCTACTATAACACACACATGCAAAAGGTGCCGCCAAGTTTTAGGTGTATGGCATCACAACCTCAGTAAATTTCTTTCAGTATACTGTTAGCAAAAATGATAACACTGTCCAGCTAATCTTGAAGCTGAAATATGTAAAGATTATTAAGTTCACTTCGCTGTTTCAGAAGCTGAGAAAAACCTGGTATTTACATCACACCGCTTTACTTTTACTAGTAATGTCCCAAAGCATTTTCTTTCCTTTGGATGATTATATGATCAAATGAAACAGAACGAAGGCTGAAGGATCAAGCTTCTGTAGACGTCAAAATAACAAGAAAAACAATTTTCTACTAACCAGTATAGAGAGAGCATTTAAGTAGAACTGTGCTGCCGTTTGCCACCTCTCCATAAAAGCCTGTTATCAGGGAAGTGTTCCCAAATGCAAATAAATGCAAATAAAGCTACCTTCTACACTGCCACCAGGGTGCCTACCATCATGACCCCTTATTGCTAACACACCAGACATCCCGCTGGGATGCAAGAGCCTCACATCCTTTAACAAGACGCAGGTTTGCAAAACAGAACATAGATATCAGTTCACTCGGTAAGTGATGCTTAACAGAGGGTAAAAGATTTTAAGAAGGGATTTAAAAAGATAACTCTAAACAAGTTATAGAGAAAAAGAAATATGCTATTTGGAACAAATAAGAGGGAAAATGCTAAAAGGGAAAGGATGCAATGAAAACACGGGGTATGAACAACACCATTCAACTTACAGAGGATACTGAGGCAGTGGCATGGTAGGCGGAGGGACACTGGAGAAACTATGAAGCACAAGGAATAAACACTGCCCGTTTTTTGTGCTAAAGCAACTACGCTCATGATTACGAAGAGTACAGATTACAGATAATACAGAATACCAGTATTTCAGAAATCAAGATGAAGAAATCACAGGTAATTGAGAGCAAGGGCTTTACCAAATCAGTTAAGAAATAGGGGGATACAAAAACCTGGTATGAACGTGCCAGAATCTGATCACACTGGCAGAGCCATTAAAGCCTGGCACAAATTCAAAAAGGAGCACTTAGCAGCTGAAACTGCCTCCTGCTCCACCTACCTTTCTCCTCCTGTGACCTCCATTGGCACATGCTCTCTATCACATGCATATGATACGCTGCCCACCTACACAGCGCTCTCAACCAGGCTCAGCCTGCACCCATAAGCTCAGATCCTTGCCAGCAGCAGCAGCAGGAGGTGAATAGGATACTCGCACCGACAGATAAACACTTTGGATTTTATAAATTCCCCCATCATTATAAAAATGGAATAACTATGTTGATTGCATGGAATCAAATAGCAAGAGCTGCCGGTCTGCATTACTTAGAATTTCTACAATTATCGTATCACACAGCAACTGTAAATCAAAGGTTAAAAAAACATACGATTTATCCTGGTATACCTGGAAGGTTTCCATTGTTATCCACATCATCTATACATGCTCCCCATCTAACAAGAAGCTGCAAACACCCCAAGCGACCATGAAACGCAGCATAATGAACAGGCTTCCAGTCATTCCTGTCTGAAACATTTACATTCTACAATGAAAGCAGCAGATTAATTCATTCATTTATGATTCTTAGACACAAGACAAATTTTATAAATAGGAATCAGCTATTCATTGTGTTAAATTATTTAAATAAATCAAATAGCTTTTTTCAAAGTTCATGCCATGTATGCAGTTCCCATTCCAAGACAGGTACTTTTCACAGGTTCTTGGTTTTATTTAAATAATACACATATAAAAAGTGCATTTTTAGACATATTTCTATCATTTCATTGGTCATTATTCCTTAAATATGCAACTGAATTATTTTTTTTAAGTTTATGTCTCCTTTACTACAAAAGATTTGTACAACTGCAAAAAATCACAACCACCACAGCACCTATCTTCATTTAATGACATCCTCAGTGGAATGTGGTTTACCTACATTACTCATTCTCTCCAGATTTTTGGATCATTTATCTAATGTATCTTGTAACAAAAAAAAATGGAAAGTTAGCCTAAAAATAAATTCACCAACAAGAACATACCAACAGTAATTAATCTACAGTCCTAAATCTCTTGTTTAATCTAGGGAGAGTTTTGTTTAGAAAAAGATACCAGACTTTGGCTCTGCGCTAGGGAACTGCGGGTAAAAGTCTCTCACCGCTCCACTTCGCAGTATGGTTTGTAAGGTGTAAGACTGCCCATGGGCTGCAGCTAAGTGGGTCGGAGTGCACCCACGATCATCCTGAGCTTCTGCGTTTGCTCCATTTATTAACAAAGCCTAAAAGAAATACAAAGCAGAAGTTCAGTTCATAAGCTGAAAAAGCAAACATTGCCTAGCGGGATGTCCTGGCTTCAGTTGGGATAGAGTTAATTTTTTTTTTTTCTAATGGTTGCTCTGTTTCAGATTTGGTATGAAAGGAATGTCAATAATGCATATCATTTTGGTTGTTGCCAGATGATGCTTATATTTTTCAAGGACTTTTTTCAGCTTCCCATGGAAGCTGGTAAAGAGCATAGATCGAACAATGAAACGGCCAATGGAATATTCTGTACCAGAGATGTCATGCTCGGTATATAAATGGGGTTAGCCGGGGGGAAAAGGGGTACTCGCGATCACTGCTTGGGACATTGCCAATTCACCAATTTACCAGGAGGTGAGAGTGACTTGTGTCTTGTATATTCTTTTACCATTATTATTATTATTATCACTATTATTATTATTCCTTTTCTGTTATTGCTGTATTAAATTGTCTTTCTTTGAACCCACAAGGGTTTTTTTCCTTTTCTCTTTTCCCTCCTTTTCTTGCTTTTCTTTCTCCTTGCCCTTCTCAGGGAAGGGGGAAAACTGCACGAGCAACTACATGGTCCTAGCTGCTGGCTGGGGTTAAACCACGATGCAGGATGACTTGAGATGATCAGCAGATGATAAACTCTGGGCTGACCTCAAGGCAATGACTCTATGCAAAATAAATCTGTTTGCACAGACAGCGTAAATGAGCGCACTGGTTTTAACAAGAGTGACGTGATTCCAGATGTAAAGACATCAAGATGAGATACTCACAACTCCATTAGGAGCTCGCTCAGCTGATCTTCATAATGAACTTGTTGAAACTGAAGGTCTGCCCTACTTACTTTTGCCCGAGAGTGAATATTTATACGTACCTGCATGCAGGCATCCTGACCCCGGATAGCTGCAAGGTGAGCTGCTGTCCAGCCTCTGACAGCTACGTGTGCTGTATCAGCTCCATGCCAGAGCAACCAGTGAAGGCACTGCTCAACCAAAACCGAAGTTTCTTATTTAACTATTCTTATCATGTATCTGAGGCACATTTTAACTATAATTTATCAGTCAATGTTACGTTTCAAAACAGTATTAGAATACTTCATTATGGAAATACGGCACCCCAGAGCATGCCTTAGCAAGACACTTACGCGTTAGGAAGTTACAAGTAAGTTATACTTTCCAGGTTTCACCCAGGAGTACAAAAAGTGCAAATAATCTACTAATTCAGACCTTAGCACTGATTTTACATCACGGCTTCTTAATTTTACTCTTCCAGATTTAAAAAGTAATCTGTGAGAGTATTCATACGGCACAATGTGAAAGCATTGGAAAAAAACAAAGCCAACATGCTCACTTGAATTCCAGCCAAAATTACTGGCAGGAAAAATACAATGAACCAAACTTAAAGACTCATTTAATTTATTAGGCTCCTTAGGTGTATGCAATCCCATCTCTCCTCTCATCCTTCCACAGCTTAGTTTTGTTTATTCACCTTCTTTCAGCAGATATTATTGCTTGCAAAGGAAAGCTCTATAGACTATCCAAAAACAGCTAGAGGACCAGTTAAAACTTTTTATTATATATTGTTATGATTTATTATCTTCTTTTAGGCCAGCCTACAGCTCTGGTTCCTCCACTGTTTCCACGAAGGAGCTTAGTGACAAATAGATAACAGATAATTCAATAAAGTCTGATACATTGATTGCCAAGTAGGTGAGTCAAATGAAAAATGGCAGAATTAATAGAGGCAGAAAAGGGTGGGTAAGCAATCTGTTTTTAGGGTTGACAACATGATGATCAGCATTTTCTTGACAGTTTCTGTACATTCCAGTAACAGCACTGCACTCATTATTTCTTGAGTTTAGCAAGAAGTTTACATTCTTTCCTTTGGGACATGAATTTTTATACGGTTACTCGTGGCCTCGTTGCTGCAAGGTTAGATTGCTGTACAGATTGTACAAAGACGCTGTGACAAGAAGGTGAATGTGCTGAATACAGTAGCTCGGTCCTCCTGGAAGTTCAAAATATTCATGCAAGCCCCTGCTGATTGCTCCATCAATGTTCAATGGTTTTATTTATTAAAATAAAATGTATTAAGACTATTTCTATAGAGAATGAGGCATAGGACAGGACATTGGTAAACAGACTGAACATGTTTTCATGTCACTTCTCACCTGTTTCAATCACCTGCAGAACATTTTACACACCTTACAAGATTTTCTAAGTGTCCAAAGAGAAGGGAAAAACACAATAGGGACAAAAGAACGTCATGAGCCTGGAAGAGACACCATAGGGCACACTTTGCTCAGAGTAAGAAAATCACTGATTTTGTAAAATCTGGCAATGTTGACTAAATAAACTGCCTGGGGCTTCAGAAAGGCAAAATGAAAACCTAAAATCTTGTACTTCTGTTCTTGGTGAACACATTTAATGAGAAAAACAGGCAGAGGTTATTGACTTAGCTTGATCAAAGCTAGCAATTTTGTGTCCAGCTTCTCCCAAAGTACGAAAACATTAACCCAGAAAAACCTTGCTGCATCTGAACACTAACATGATGTTTTACCTCCAGACTTCCAGAGTGTGCAGCACAGTGCAGTGGTGTGAATTTGTCAACTAAATCCACCTCATTAATTCTGGCTCCACTTTTTATCATTGACGCAAGCTGTTCTACATCACCAGCTTTCACTGCCTCATGTACACTAGTATAGTTTTGCTTCTTCTTGACAGCTAGGGAGGAATAATAAAAGGACATTAGTCAGTTCAGCAACATTTAAGAGCTAGGAAATAAGTGATGAATCAAAGAAACATCAGGGTGTCAGCTTCACAGGAGCCAA